AAGACACTTTCTTCCAACCGAGTGTTCCACGACACTCTCGTTTGTTTTTTGTTCGTGTTTTTACGGTATAATGGCTTTTATAAACAACCCTCTTGACTCTCAACTTAAATTTTCGTACTGATCGTACGAAATATACGAATATATATATATATATATATATATATATATATATATATATATATACGAATACGTACCTGTCCAAATTTCTTCTGTAAACTTTCTCATACACTTTTTTCTACGTTTATCATCACATGGTAATGCTAATTTTGCATCAGCGCTTTTTTTCTTCTGGTACATTCTCGCGTTTGGTAAGTTCTTTACCGCTATTGTCGGAGTCCTCAAACATGTTAACTTTACTATTGTCACAATCACATTTGTCGCACAATGGCCTTCCATTGTTCGACAAAGATGATTTGATTGTCATCGAAGGATGAATGAAGGAAGGAGTAACAGGCTGTTTCTCTTAGTTGAGCTTTAGAAACAAGAATATTAAGATCAATATTTCGGACAATATTAAAATAACCTTAAAACTGCTTTAAAATAAAACAGTTTTTAAAATCGTTGTAATCTGGAGGACGCGACCAGAATTGATTTAAATCTACAGAAATTTATTCTTTTTGAATAGCAGGCAACGTCACTATATCAGCGTCAGAATTTTGAATTGAGATTAAAGATTTAACTGGTGATGAATGAAATGCTATCTTTTGATGGGATATCGCTCGCTTAGTGCGCCGCGAAGCAATATCACTTCTCCTCAAGTCACACCCCTCGCGTTCTTTACTACTCATAACCGTAGTAACTCGAAGACAAATTGCCATTTAGTACGTATGGCCATTCAAATCTTGTCCGTTTTTCCTTCAAATAATTGCAATAACTTTACTTGTTATTATTAGATTTTGTAAGTTTAAAATTTTAAATGATAAAATTCCTTAACATATCTGCAATTATTTGTTACGCTAATGATTAGTAAATGTTCCCCTTAATTGAAAAAAATGCGCTAATCATAAGTGCAATAACTGGACTTATTGCGGTAATCTAGAGTAATATTACAAAATATTATAGCTGACCATGTCATAACTCAAGTTATTTCGTTAATGATATGCAACGTACAAATGATAAAATTAAATATTGCAGTTATGCTTATCAAAGGAACCGAATCTACTGTAAATACAAAAAAGACGTCTAAAGAGAAAATGTAGAGCTCATTTTTCTGATTACGGATATGTACTTAAGTTAGTAAGCCCAAAAACCCGAGTTGCACTTATCGTAAGGACGGCAGTATTGAAACGTATAGAATAAACTTTTTTTTTAAAAACTCGAACAATTTTTATTTTTATTAAAATAAAAATTGCATGCAAATTGTATGTGGTACCTCTGCATTGTCTGGGGAGTCAGAGAATTGTCAAAGACGTCGCTTTACTTAGCTTTAGCATCGGCTAGTGTCAGTAAGAGGTAATAAAACCACATAAAAATATATTTAAAAAAAAATTAAAAAAATATAGTCGAGTTTTAAAAAAATAGTTTTTTCTATAGACTTGAATACTAATCCTAATAACGTACTTAACGGGAACCACAGGGTTTTCCTTACATGTTGTTATGATAATAATTATAATTATTATAATTAAAACTATATGATATTTTTAACCAGCATATATCCGTCCATCCATCTATTACAGCCTATAAAATTCACTGCTAAACACAGGCCTCCCCCAAAGATTGCCTTATAGGAGGGTTTTGGTAACTACTTTGTAGAAAGAAACACGGACATAGAAACACTCGAAATTTCATACAGAAAAGAATTATATGGTATGATTATATCGATATCGTAATATATATCTACTAAAAAAAATCATAGGTATATACTTTATTACGCTATCTTTTATCGACACCAGTTTTTATCGACTTTATAAAGGAAGAGGTACTCAATTCGACTGATGTTTCTCTTATGTAAGTTATTACCTCATAACTTTTTTCTGGGTGAACCGATTTTGATAATTTTTTTTTATTTGAAAGCTGGTGTTTCTCATGTAGTCCCGTATAATTTGATTAAGGTCTGATCAATAGTTTTTTAAGTTATTCTTAATAATTTATATTGAAGTCCGTTGTACAAAAATTTTAATTTTAAATTATGTTGAATACAATTTCGCCGTAATATTCTCAATATGACACACATTGGACTTTTTGTGTTTACTTACTTTATTTCACACGTGAACGATACAGTATTTGACATAATATATTTATAAATTGAATAAAAATTTGTTCCGAGAAGAAATACAAGCAAATAACTTTTAAAACAGTGTAATTATTTACATTCAAATGAAAAAACTCATATCAAACTTTCTATTCGTGGTCTCTTGCAGTCGCGCACCGAAGGAAATGGAATGAACTAAACGAGGCAATGATGGACGATATACATCGATGTATTAAAACACTCAATGTAAAATATCAATTCATCGAATCAATTCGATGTTTTGTTAATTCATCAACATCGAGTAAACATCGATGGTTTTTGTAGTGATAGTCGGTTTCGGCAAGTTTCGGCAAAAAATCTAGTTTCGGTAATAGTTTCGGTTTCGGCAAAAAATCTGCCGAACCTTTGGCGGCGCCGAAACTCAGTGTTTGTGGATTATCGTGCGTCGTTCGGATGAAGGCGTGACTCGTGTATTATTCATAATTATACAGAAACAGAAAATTTTTTATTCAATATATATTATAAATAATACTTATTGAAACTCATTCTTTTGTTTAATTACCATTGATGCGGGACTTTTTAAAAAAAAAACAGCATACAATCATGTATGTTACACAATTAACCACACAAAATAAAGTAGAAATAGCTTGGTAGCGATCATCTCATTCCCAGGGGTTATTATAATCCATCAATTCGTTAATATTATAACCCTTTTTATACAAACTTAGTTTATTAAAGTTTTGAACTTCGGGCAGGTTTTTTATATTTCCTGGGATTTTGTAAATGTGTGAGTGTGATATATTAAGGTCACTTTGTAAACACAATAAAATATTTTCTCAATTAGCGAGTAAATTTTTATGGGTGTAAGTGTTGATTTTTTTTTTTACAAAATTGACTTATAAAGTATTTCTTAGATTGAAATATCTTGTGAATATTAAAACTGCGATCAAGCAATCAAAATCACAATTATATATAATATGGTTTTTAAGGGGAAGTAATAAAATCAGATTTTTGTGTTTGGTTAATATATATCGTTTCATAACTTCGTACCTACCTATGTTTTATTGAGCTAAAACATACCTTATAATTATCGCTTACATAATCAAATTAATAACTTAAGTACAATAACGCATAGGCATCAATATTGGTGCATCACTATTCAACTACTCGCAACTATTTATCAGTATCTAGAGAACATCTGGTTACGGTTGCCATAATGGGCATTGAGTGATACGCGCGCTCTATACCTTGCTTATTTGTAGTCTAAGTTCTGAACATCTATTGGTCTAAGGGGTCCCTTCTAAATATTACTATACTCTTTGGCGGGGTCTAATATTTTGACAAGTAGATCGCCAAATGAATATGCCGACGGTTGACAGACTAAAGCTTCGTTCAAACTGAGACAAATACCGGGCGATTCGCTCGCTCGATTAGCCTCCCAAACTGAGACAAAATCCGCACATCATTATTTTTGGTTTCTTAATAGGAAAACATGTCTTTTGATATTGAAGCTGAGGTTTTGTTGTTATTAGCATTAACTGAAGAAGAATCTCAAGATGTTTTTTTTATAGAATAAGGGTGACAAACGAGCACGCAGCCCACCTGATAGTTAATGGTTGCTGTGGCCCACAGACATCTACATCTATGCCAAATTAAGAATCAAAATGCAAATGCTTTGTCACCCTTGTTTCCAGTAAAAAAACTCTCCGGTTCTCTACAATCACCATACAAAACACAGCAGTGCTCTGCACAGCAGCGTTAAGCTGTTTTTGTAGCTGGTATTCTGTGATTGTGTGGTCCTTCCGCGGTCGAGCCGACCCATTCGTGGTAAAACTATACCATTAATATAGCTGCAGCGTGGCTTTACCACGTACGACGATGTACGACATGTGAGGAAGAAAAGAAGAAAATGGTTCATGAGCTGAGTACTCAACGCATATTTGGAGAGTTTCACACTTTGATACCCACATTACGAAAAGATAAAAAGAGATTTTACATAATATATTATATTAGTATGCCGGAAGAATGCTATAACAAAGTTTTATCAAGAATCAAACAAAATATATTTTTTCCTATTATTTTTAGTCTTCGTGGCTTATGTTGTATAGAATCTTGTTATCTTTTAATTTTTGTAAAAATAATTCTAGGTCCAACGGCATTTCAAAAAATCAGGCACTATACCGCGTATATTTCGCTGCAGCACGTGCGACTATTCGTGCCAATGTGAGAACCTCCATACAAGTTAGCTGACGCTATCGGCGCGAGCGAATCGCGTCCTGCGTCTCGTGCGGTATTCGCCGCAATTTGAACTAAGCTAAAAGGACATGTACCCATCCCAAACATGTTATTTAAAAAAAATCACGCATACGGAAAAACTAGGGATGTGCAAGAGTAAAAATATATCGATATATATCGAATCAATATATTTAAACATTATCCGTATATATTGCGTGATAAATATCGATATATTGATATTACGTCAATATGTAAGAATAAAGGCGAAAATTTAATATTACTGACGGTTGGACGACAAAAAAAAGACAACCACACATGAATGCTTTTGTAGCTCCTTTTGTTGTATTGCCTTTACAACAATTTAAATAAATATCGATATATTGGAATTAATAATATCGACGATATATATCGATATTTTTATGACAAAATATGTAATATTTCGATAGTTTTTGCCCAAGCCTAGGAAAAAGATAAGATCTAAAAGCTGGCGAAAATTTAGGAGGATATACGATTTTTCTAGAACACAAGACTTAATTAAGAATTTTGTGTGGTATGAAATCCCAGAATTATAAAAATGACGAGTGAAGTGGAGTTAGCGCAATCCGCTGCCGCAGGCGGTGATACAATTTTTGGCAAGATATTAAGAAAAGAAATACCTGCCAAATTCGTCTACGAAGATGACCAGGTAGGTCTACAGGAGTAGAAACGTACAAAATCAAACAAATGGCGAGAGGGGTGGGGTTGGTGTGAACCCCTGTGGAGTGTGGACGAAGAATCCCCGTAGCTTTCGAAAAACAGGTTATTTATTACACATTGGGGAAGCACTGTATAGTTTTCGCCGCTTTTTATAGCAACAATATTTTTTTTTACCCTTTTTAGTGTAATTATGAAATCGGCAAATTGAGCAAAACCATAGGTGCTGAGAAAAAAATTGCCAAAGAAAAGGATTGGTGGTATAGTAGGAGTAGTAAGGGATAAGGGTGGGAAAAATCATGTGATGGGTCTAAACTTATTTTTAAGCAATAATGATATCAATGACATCTTTAAGGTCAAACACTGAAAGTCAAATAGTCAAGATCAATTCAAAATATTATGCTAAAATTTGGAATACTATCTTATAAGCTCTGAGGAAAAGGATATTTTTGAGGTTTATGTCAAAGGTTAAGGTCAAATAAAAAAAAATTAATTAGTCCTAAGTAAAATATATTGTCATACTAAAATCTAAATATCGTAATAAGGGGTAATCGACGGAGTGGGGCTTCTATTTTCCTGGAGGGTTTAGAGTAACTTAATACAAAGGGGATAGCGACCTAACTGACCTAACCTGTCCGAGTCGGGGTGCCCCCAAGTTCTAAGCTCACTTAGCTCGCTTGCATCCTTAGTTCTCCTTGCTTCTATGTTGAATTGTGTTATTTTTGAATATTATGTTGGTGTAGTGTATAATGTAATAGAGTAACATAAAAGAAAAAACAAATCAAATGTTATTAAAAGTATTATATTATTTAGTTCATAATTGAGTTTAATATATTAGCAGCTATTTAAAAATGAATTAAAGTTAGAAACTTGTAATATATAAATTAAAAATCATCTAGCCTCTCACATGTCCGGGCGACCATAGTCACCTAAAACTTTTTCCGGTTGAACGTTAGGGCGACTAGAGCGGCCTCACTGACTTCTACACTTTAAATGACTTTTTGTCTATGGAAAGTTACAAAAATCTTCATGAATATTACACTAAACGGCTCTATATTAAAAAACGCATCTATTGGTTAGTAAAAAATTTATGTCAAGTATAAGATACCACTGAAAAAAACAAGCATTGTGCCAAGTTTTGTCGGTAGTACTGTGACTACTGCATTTAACAGTGGTAGAGCCACGCAGCAGCTTTTGCTGTCACACGGATGGGCCGGCTCGAACCGGGGTAGTACCACGACCTCACAGAAAACCAGTGTGAAGTAGAGGTTTACCTCTGCCTTTCGCTTGGTGAGTGCAGGTGGCCGGAGGCCCTTTTTACTGGAAATGAGGCATTCCATCTTAGTCCTCACGGGTGATAACGCATCTACATTTTGATTTGTAACAGAGGATAGATGTAGATGTCTATGGGCCGCAGCAACCACTTACCATCAGGTGGACTGTGTGCTCGCTTGTCACCCTTATCCTATAAAAAAAAAATTAAAATGTTAGTAATATTGTGTTTATTATAGTTTTGTACTGGTATTATATATGAAAATAATCCCTAAGATGCTTTCTTTTTGTATATTTACTAGTTTTATAAATCCAAAGTCTCTAATGATGTTTTTATATGTGATTAATTCAATATGCGAAAATTTCGCCTTTGTGTGTCGTTTTTTTGTTAAGTTTTTGTATTATATATTATTTATTTTAATGAAATATAATTAACTAACATAATTAAATTCTGCATTTCATTAGCTTTTTGTGAAAAATTTTTAGTCTGATATAGGTAAAGAACTTTCTCCGTGGTAACGGTTTTGGTCGACCTGGTCGCGATTGGACTGTATAAAATTCGCGATGAGCGTCGCCGGGACGTTTGAGTGGCTAGGAGTGAAATTCGTACATTATCTGTGGTAAAATCACATATGCTTATTTAAAAAAATTGTGTTTTTTTCTAAATTTAGATTTTTCTTTCTCGAAAACTATGAGTTTGCTCAATGTGATTTTTGTTTTAAAGGGTTCGACATGAAGAGATCTATACGAAAAAAAATACGTCAGCATCTAAACTGGCAGAAATCTTTGTAAAGTGGTGCCATTTTGTATTTTTGACAAAGTTAAAAAAGTCTATAACTTTTTTAACTTTCATTTCTATTTCAATTATTATTCACACCCAGTTTTAGCCACTTACTCCAGTAGCTGGATACATAAAAAAAAAATAAAAAAAATCATAAAATAAAAGGTTATTTTAAATGTACACTATATTGGATCGGTCTGAAAAACTTGTATTACACCCATGGGATGATAGGGGAATACCTGATGATGAATAATTTTATACCATATGATACTCAAAGTTACAGCAGAACTATAAGGTATGTAATATTAATGTTATTCATTAAATGCGTATTATATAAATGTTTATTTTATGATTTTCAGTGTGTAGCATTCAATGATGTTAATCCTCAAGCGCCAACTCACATCTTGGTAATTCCTAGAAAACCAATACCGCAGTTATCAAAAGCCACTGACGATGATGAGCAGCTTCTTGGTAATTATGTTATTTTATTCTTGTTATATATATTTATAAAGAGATTTTCATATACATTTTGTATATTTTTAAACATGATAATTGCAACACTACTAATTACAGTAGAATCAGTTTATTATGACTCCGCTTATATTGACCAACCGCTTATTATGACGTAATTACACAGCGAAGTTTGGTTTTCATACAAAATTCTTTATAATAAAGTTGGATATAATGACTTTGCTTATAGTGACATGTAGCTTATTGTGACCCATTATTACTAAATTGTGTCCGGTTATAGTGACCGACATAAATCCCAACCAACACCTTCGGCAGTGTTCAGAATAGTCAATTGATACCCGACGACGTTCGGCGCGTGCATGGCTTTTTTTTGTTTTGAGTCTCAGTGGGTAATTGATTGTTGAAGGTCACAACACACACATATACATTGTTTGTTAGTAATTTGTGAAAAGAAAATGAAATCTTAACGTGAGTGCATGTGCAGTTTAGAAAATGAAGAATCCAACTCATCCCTCACAAGGGAATTTGAGGTTGGTCACTCGACAATCTCAATGAGTTTTAAAAACAAGAATTTATTATTAAGAATTTAAGTTAATTGTTTATTTTCTACAAAATGCTTTGTATGACGTCCGCTTAGTATGACGTGTTTGTTATTTCCCTTCGATGTCACTATAAACGGATTCCACTGTATTCACATACGAATAATTTATTCCAATTTGTGTCATGTTCATCCTTGCACAATTAATGTATGTAAAATAGGCATTTTACCACATTACAGCAAAAAATCCTTAAAAAAAGGATAAACAAAATTTCAACCTCACCTGCATTTGGTGCTAAATAATTAACAAGGCTATTTTCCTCAGTAAGTTTTATATGTGGAAGAGATATGCTGCAGCTATATTAGAAGTTTAGTTGTAGCACGAATGGGTCGGCTCGACCGGGGAAGGACCAAGCTCTCACAGAATAACAGTGTAAAATAGCAGCTTAATGCTGCTGTGTTTCGTATGGTAAGTGTAAAGAACTGGAGACCCCTTTTACTGGAAATAGGGCATTCATTCCCTCACAAATGACAATGCATCTGCATTTTAATTCATAGCCATGGACAGATGTTGTATTTGGGCCACAGCAACTGCTTATTATCAGGTGGACTGTGTGCTTGTTTGTCACACTAATTCTATAAAAAAATATTTTCCTAAGTTTTACAAGGTGTTATGCTGTTTTTGGCTATTTTGTATATACCATAAAACTGTTGAATTACTCTTATGATGATTCTTTGTGTTGGCGTTGGTTTAAATAGATCCATTAAATTTTGTTTAAGTGTCTAATCAAATTTAACAGATAATTTATGATTGTCATCAACAGTTTATATCTCATGCTGCCATGTTAGACATAGGCCAAGGCGTGCCAGGTGCTAAGCCTTCCTTCAGCTTAACCGGTTCAGTGCGGATCTATTACTACCATTTGCCCAAATAGACCTATGAAGTACCATGTGCTCTTGTGATATGGTATAAGGTTTATTTTTGGTTAAAACTGTTCAAACGCGTTCATGCATAAAAAAGTTTGCTAATAAATAGTCTTTTGTTCATACGCTGCCGTACTGCGCCGGCGCATTCCTTTGAAAACACTTTTGTTTTGCTATTCTTACTAATTAGACGTTTTCAGAGCGACTTTACTTTTCATACTGTAGACCTTTCCGACGATATTCGCGTGTGTACTGGATTTAGCTGTACCTACTTATATAAATAATTTTTTTTATAAAACAAAAAGTAGTACAAGAGGTACGGATTTTATCGCGTATATTAACTTATTTTATATTCCCGGACATTTCGAGCACTTTATAGCACCCATGGTCACGGGGGGGGGGGGGGGGGATTTGTTTTCGCTATAAGAAATCATTAAAGTCATTTACTCCCCATTTCAAGAAAAACATGTAGAAAAACGCTTAGTTAGCCATCAATTTCTGTGGCGCTTGACACGACATGCGTCTCACGAAATTTTGTTCGCCGCGACAGCTAAAAGTTGTCAAAAATTGGTGCCGCAACGATTCGGTTAACGCATCCTGTCATACCACCCGGGTTTCATCTAGCCATGGGATGTCTGTTACAATGTTATCTTAAGCGTGGTTTCTGCTACAATTTACAATTATTATCATAATTTGCAATAACCAGAATTCTGAAAGCTGAATATATCGACGACTTTTGTTCCGTGGTTGAATTATTCATCATGAATCTGATCCACCAGAGAAACACATTTTGAGCTATATTAAATATTGGCATATTAAGTAGGTAGCACTTTAGCCTTTGCTGCTGGGCTGGATGGGTTTTTTAAGTTCCTGAATATTCCTGTGTGATGGTGAGGAGACAATCCATCACCCTATTTCATCTCATAGGTATCGTAAAAAGTGACTATAGGCAATGCCATGGCAATGGCTTCCTATAGATAGCGGTAGAACCACCGTGTTCACGTCAGAGGAAATATTACCAGTCCAGTGAAAGTTAGCAACGTAGAAGGTGCGAGACATCTGGCACTGCGACCGTCAATCTTCCTGCCTAGCGTGATTCATGGCAAATCCTCCCTTCATTGGAAGAGGGTAAGACCAGCTGTGGACTTATACTTATACAGACTGTGTGACCTAATTACTGTGACACAGTAATTAGGTCACACAGTCTGTAATAGTGCCATGTGTAAGACAATTAGCTGCCGAGTAATATTTTTAATCTTTTTTATCGGCTTGTATAAGTGTGACCTAATTACTGTGTCACAGTAATTAGGTCACACAGTCTGTAATAGTGCCATGTGTAAGACAATTAGCTGCCGAGTAATATTTTTAATCTTTTTTATCGGCTTGTATAAGTCCACAGCTGGTCTTACCCTCTTACACACCTGCAATTATATATCTATAATAAAGTCTGACTGCCTCGTTGGTAGGTGTAAATGTGAATCACGCGGTCTCCCGGGTTTGAATCATGGGTCAGACCAAAAATCAGTTATTTGGTCTATCTAGAAATTCTCATCAGCAGCCTGGAGTCAGGAAGAATGCGGTGTTTCACCCCCGTGCCTCGGAAAGTACGTAACACCCTTGGTCCTCCGTCTGATCTCCCTCTCGGGATGACAATTCAATTAATAGTGATGGGATAGAGCGTGCACCTTTGCTTGCGCACGCATTCGTACACTTTAATTTTGTCCTGCGCAAATGGCTAGTAGCTGTTGAGACTAGCTGCACTTATAGAAATTCTGGACGGTATTATTTTATTGCTAAAATTTGGTTATATTAGTATTATCTATTAAATTGAAAAAATGGTGCACTGATATATTTATACTATAACTTTTGTTTATGTATTAATATGAAATTTATATGATCTTGAATTTTTATTAGGTCATTTAATGATTGCTGCTCGCAAAATCGCCGCTAACGAAGGTCTAGACAAGACTGGTTTTCGACTTGTTATCAACGATGGGAAGAATGGGGCACAAAGTGTGTATCACCTTCATATTCATATTCTTGGAGGTCGCCAGATGGGTTGGCCCCCAGGCTAAATTGTGTAACAAAATTGCTATAAAATAAAATATTTCAATTGTCATGTATTTCTTAATTATTTGCTATAAATATGTCTTCTCCTTCTGCATTACGAGCCTATCACAATCCACTATTACATATTATGATCCCTCATCTTTTACCATTGTAAGGAGTTAAAACATAGTGTATAATAAAATAATTAAAGCCCCGACTTCAAAAGGTATTAATATGGAAATTTTCTTAAGGAATCTCACAAACTCGAAGGGTAGTTTTTTTTTTCAGTTTATAGTTCACCCCTAATTTCCTAATCATTATGAACTTTAATGGGTTACCCCTGTAATGTATTTAAAAAAAAGAATCGTTAAAATTGGTTCACAGCACACGTGTCATTGTTGATTAACTAAGAACGTTAATCAAATCAGCAAATTACAATTGTTTTACAAATAAATTATGGTATTCTACGAAACGATTCCTTCCTCTATTAATAAAATGTATAGCTTATTTTTATTGAAATAAAAATTATGACGCCTAGCAATAATGTGCACTTACGAAACTTCTCGCAATCTAGCAACCTAACCTACCTAAATAAGTTTTTGTTCTTATTACATCAAAAATACGAGGGGCACACTGAAATGATCGGGAATAAGAAAAACCAGATGCACGGTATAGCTAAATTGTATTTTGTTGTTTTTCGAAGTATTCTCCGTTCAACTTAATGCACTTTCCATTCGTGCAAACCAATCATTAAAACAGTAACTCCAGTCTGAAGTTGATGTTGACTAAATGGCTGATTTGTACGCTTCCACAGCTGCTTCTCGGTCTTCAAACCATTGACCGCGTAATAAATCTTTAATTCTAGAGAATGTAAAGAAATCGTTTGGGCTCAGGTCAGGACTGTACGGAGGATGGCTCATCAGCTCAACGTTTTCCTGCTTCAAAAAAATCATTTGTCTTCCGAGCCGTATGGGAGCTCGCATTATCGTGATGTAAGATGATGCGACGTTTCGTGTTATTTTTTCGGAGTTCGGCTTTCATTTCTGGCAAACAAACCGTGACACAGCGGTAACCGTTCTGCGTTCCTGTAAAGGAATTGTAGCAACATGCCCCTTTTTCGAGACAAACGTAGCGACCATTTTCTTTGACACGCTGCGGGAGCGAACCACTTTCGTTGGTTTGACCTCGTCCTCGAAGACCCGAACTGCTGACTGATGTATTCTTTCAGGTTCGTATGAATAAATCCATGATTCGTCACCTGAGACGATATTATAAACGACATTTGACTTCCCTCTGTTGAAGCGTTGCAGCGTATTCCGGCACCAATCTACGCGAACCGCCTTTTGGTCTTCGGACAAATTGTGGGGAACCCAGCGGGAAACTAGCTTTCTTACACACAGCTCATTATGTAATATCGACTGAATTGCAGTCATTCCGAAACTGATAACATCCCGAATCTGCTCGTATGTCACATGACGGTCATCTAATGTAATAGCGCACAGCTGCGATGTTTTCAGGCGTGACCGCTGTTCTTGGTCGACCTGCAGAAGAAACAGTGCTAAGCGACACACGACCGCGTCGGAACTCGGCATACCAGCCGTATATTGTCGTTTGACTCGGTGCTTCAACATCATAAATCGAAACAAGTTCGCTAAGAAATTTATCTTGAGATAAGCCGCGACGAAAATTGTGATAAATTATGGCACGGAAATGTTCACGCGTGAGCTACATTTCTGTTAACATGGGCATGCAACTTAGAACATTATTTTATGAACAAGATGATACGTTTTATGTGCATCCATCTACATTCCTAAGTGCTAGGCTAGACTTATTTTAATCTCACTAGAGGGCACACTTATATATTAAGTCTATGCATACGAATTATTAGAATACGAAGGTAAATTTCGCCACTACATACAAGGTCATAATAGCACAGGTGGGTAACCGGGCGGTCCCGAAACCAAAAGACCATTAATTATGATTCCATTTATGGAATAATTTTCCTTTTTTTATAAAATTCAGGACTAGGTATTATGATATCACCCACTTACATATGTAGATAGTAATGTAAAACATCTAGATAAATCATAGTCTGCAGTTTGGTGTTATTGGCCAGAGCGAAGGCTTTAGAACGCCACCAGAAATATGTAATGCTAACAACTTAGTACGCGGTTCTTCATCGATCAGAATATGGTATCCACTTTCGTCCAAGCCTCTTTGAATTGCTATATTTTTTGCTACTAATATAAGACGACCTGAAACAAATAAAATAATGAAAACTGTGTAAAAGGTACACACATAAAGAGATATTAAAGAAACCGTTAAAAAGATTTGCACTCCTTATGAAGCTGAAGTCATTTAGTCCTTTTTGTTAGCTACTTTTCAGGTCCTTCTTTAAAAAGGATAAATCTAAAAGCAAACAAATAAGTCACTGCCGTGACACTCAAATTGTCATACCCCATTTAGACTCTCGCGCGAGCGACGAGGCAAGTCGCGAGGCGAGCCACGAGGCGCGAGTGTAAACGCTAGCTCGTGGCTCGCCTCGCAGCTCGCCTCGCCACTCGCGGCGCTCGCGTCGGAGGCGGTTTTTTAGGCACGAGGCAAAGGGCCTCGCGAGGGACGCGAGCGTGGTGTTTACACTCGCGTCTCGTTTCAGTTTGTTTACGGCGCCCTTCCATAATAACATTCGAATTGCTTTTGTTTTAAAATTACAGTTTTAATAAAGTAATATTATTTAATATTGCACAATATGTACTAGCAATTTATATAAAATTATGAAACTGAAAAAGGTTCTTTTTCGATGAACAGATATCATCCGTCATATTCTTCCTCAACGACGTATTTTTATTAATTTCCTTCTTTTTAAAATGGTTAAACATCGATAAATACTTATTAAGGCAAGAGTTGATACCGCTATTATTTCGACGTCAACTGACCGCATCGCGAGAGTGTAAACAAGCACTCGTTACCTCACAACAACACGCGAGCTGCGAGGCGAGGTACGAGGCGAGCCGCGAGGCGAGAGTCTAAACGAGGTATCAGTAGTTCTCCGAGAGGGTGTTTAAGTCAAAGAGGCTATTCGTATTCTATATTATTATATTTCAAATTCCGGTACGTATCCGGATTCAACCAAAGATGGAAACACTCCACATGTCTTTACTTTCATGTTGAAATTTCATGCAGTAGTAGTTGAAAGCAAGTATGTCTACGATCTACGACAATCAATATAGGGACTTCTTTCTACTGTTCTCTGCTTCTCTGTTAGTACTAATGAGTATACGGTCGTACATATAACGTTCGTACGACACAGGTACAGGCAAATGCCAAAATATGCAATGTTAGCACAGTTTAAAGATATGTTAGTGAGCGTCTGTGAGCGTGTTCATATAATGCATGAATCTTAGTTTGTTAATATCTCAAAAACTTGTACAAATTTAAAAATAATAATTTTCTGTATAATGATTTAAATTAAAGAACCTCCATACAAATCAAATTCTAAGGCGGTCTATTTTTCGATACATTATTCGAGATCTGTCGGAGACACATACCTACAACAGGACATAATATGTATGTGTAGGTTGATTATAAAAATAGTTTAATAATTACTTGCCCAGTAATTTTTCATCTTCCGTTGAAGCTTGGGATAACCTAGATATTACTTTTTTAGGCATAACCACGAAATGTACTCGTGCTTGAGAGTTTAATCCTCCTTCGAACACGACACACTACAATAAAGTTAAATTAAAATATTTACCAAAATAAACAATATCCATTTAAATAATATCTAATAGTTGTTAGTTGGTTGTTAGGATTATAACCTTCAAATCTCAAGTAATATTATTATTTATGTTTAATAAAAAATAAATTGTACTTTACTGTTCACAGTATATTTATTATATAAGTAATGTACCTGATCATCTTCATAAATAAATTCTTTTGGTGGTTTTCCATTAAAATATATATCATATCTTCCTTCAAACATTCTTAAAATTTATGTTTATAAATATAAGAATGTCTCAAGGTCTCAAACAATATATCTTTTAGCAATAGGTTCCAGGTTCTATTAGGTAGGTCTACACACAGACTAACTACCTAACTAGTAGATTCTACGGTCTACAATCCTACAAATACAGAAATAGGTATATTATATAGCACGACAACTGACCCATCGATAACACCAAAAATTAGAAAAATATAAGAGGCAAAGAGTATGTAAATATAAAGCACTTAGCTTATAACAAAGTAAGTAACACTTTTCTCTAACCGTCTAAACTCGTTTACAAGTTGTACCAACGTCACTTGCTAATTGTTTGATATTTAATTCCACGCTAACTACTTATCTCGTAAACAACAAAAATATTACATAATAATCACGGGTAAGATGGAGGACTAGTTATTTTTTGTGCATTCCTATGATATGGGAATCAAATAAAAGGGTTTGGGTTGGTGAAAAATACCAAAAATATTTTTTAATAAAAAATTTTTCTCAAATGTTTTTAAGGAATAATTTATATTAACTTAAATCTTACCATAGAAACTTGTGTAGTGTTGTGTCAAACTTACGGAAGTTACAATCAAGAAATATATTTATTATGCGAATCTTAAACAATAAATATATGGTTTAAAATTTATTAGGTTTTTGTAAGATGACGTCACACGAAAGTGTTACCACAATAAGCACTTGACAAACTGTAGGGTAAGGTGGGGCACATTGTTACACGGGGTACACTGTTACAATGCACATATCTCCGACTTTGTCTTTAATTTTTTTAATATTAGTATACAGTTTCGACAAGCGCATAAGCAGCCATCTTAATACAGTTGTTGTTACGGCCTACGGCTGCTCCAGCAAGGGTCAAATCCTCTGGGGCCCATTCAGCAGAAGACTTCACGAGCAGACGCAGGACGGGCCTCAATATGGCCGCGGGGAATATGTTCTATCACAATAAACTATATGAAAAATGTTGTATCCTACTACAATTAAAGGGGAGGCTAATCAAATAGATGTTACTTACCTGTATGTGAGGCGATTGCTGTCTCAGGGCTCGGTCAGGCCGTAGGTGTGTATGTGTTGAGTATAGTGGTGGTTTGTGGTGTTGGTGGTGATAGACCTGCCGGGACCTTCGAAGTTGGCAGCAACTCGGACTTCGGTGCCGCTCCAAATTGTGGTGATCTCCCGCGGCGTCACCCACCGTCACTTTCTTCCTTCTTCACTAGGACAGTCTATTAACTATACTTCCAGACGCCACTAAAACTAAACTAAAGTGTAACACACCTCTAATACCGAAAACGTATCCGAACTATATCAAAGGCCACTCGAGCAAATTAATATTGTCAAATGCACTTATATGCTAGCAAATTAGAATAACCAAATTCGCGGTAAATTAGGCGCGCGTAACACGCAATTCAGACTTTGATCGCAGTCAATGTTAACTTCCTAACAATTTGTCAGCCCGGCGTCGAATTCTAGACTTAACAAAGAAACCTTCGTCGTGGCAACATCTGCTAACAAAACCGACTCCAAAAATGGAGGTTTCCCGGGCGACTTTAAAACGTGCTCTCGATAGCACGTTTTCTAGCAACTCTGTTGCACTAACGTTCTGAAGTCGCGCCCTTCTACCCGACGACGCACGGAAGTGGGGCCAAGGTGACTTTTACAAGTCAGCGGGCGGAACGAGTGCGAATGCAAATTTCAAAAGTTAATTGTTTGGCCTAAACAGTTGTCGTTGCCCCAGGTTGTACCGCGTTGGAGATTAATCTAACAAAAATCGAATTTGGTTGATAAAACGTGAACGTTAAAGTTTTCCATTTTTTCTCTGAACTTTTGCATTTAGGTAAGTGATTGCTATTTTCATCTGTTTATTGTATATTTAGCGTCAAATTATCATTATATAGTTTTTTGTAGATATAACTTAAAAGGCTCATTTGAATTTATTTTTCTGATTGCTATGCCTGGGGCACTATGTTACGGGGCACTGTGTGACACTGTAACAATGAGTCTCAATGAGCTAATTCTTGATTTTTTGAAAGTCTATAAGAAAATTGTGCGAAATCGTAAGAGGATGACGGATTACGGACTCCATACTGAAAATGATACGAGAGAAGCAATACTGATGGTTGAAGGTAGGATGAGCCTTCGAAAGGCAGCAAATGAAAAACATGTGAATTTCATAATTACAAAATACTGAAAAGATAAAAAGACGGCAGGAGTTGATTGGTTATACGGATTTAGAACACGGCATGCAGATTTACGTTGAGAAAACCGCAACCTTGTGGCTTGACCGGCGGAATATCATTCAATCACCATGAATATATTCTTCAGTAATTTGGAAGATCTTATGCGGCGATGCCCTAGTTTTGCAGACGGTAGCAGATTTTACTCATTGGATGAAACTGGAACAACTACTGTCCAAAAACCTGAAAAAATATTCCAAAAAAGGGAGCTAAACAGCTGAATAAATAAACGAGGGCCGTAAGAGGAACACTGGTTACTAAGTGTGTGTGGCAATGGCGTTCCCCAGAAAACAATTACCGACAATGATTTTTTTCTATTATTTTAATGTTGTAACATTGTGCCCCTTAACCTGTAACAGAGTACCCCAGAAGCAGGGCTCATTGTTACAATCGACTGATCTTATTAAAGTGCCATTTTAAGTAGCTTGTTGCTAATAACAGTTAAGTTTAAATAATTATAAGTAAGAAGAGACTATTTAAGTTAATATCCATGCCAGTTAAAACTTGATTAAATTAACATTTTCGTCACTACATTGCCTTTTATTTTTTTTTGTAACACTGTGCCCCACCGATATGTCGTATGTCGATATTATAGATATTTGTATAACTATTATTTCTATAGTGGAATATGCCGTCTCCATAGGTATATTTTTATGTCTATGTGGCAGTGAAAGTGAACAATACACTGACTTAGAAATATATGGACTGGGCATACCTACAGAATTAACGTGACTACGTGATAAAATGGCCGCCTTTTATAGGGTTGTAACTCAGCAATATGGGCAGCAAATATTGATATTTTTACTAATATGAGTTTGTTCTTATTTCATATAATTATAGAAATTAAATCCATAGCCTAATTGCGTAACACACCCAAAATGGCAAACCATACCAATTTGATAGTTTAACAACATCCATTGCGTGGTTTTTGATGTCGAGCAAACGAATTTTTCAATCACATGAAGCAATGGATATTGTTAGGTTGTTAATCTAGTTTTCGATTGCTTCTTCTGGAGCTGCTTCACCAGGCTTCACCGCATATGTACACTTACGCAATGCATTCTCTGCTACAGATTTTTTGAGTTAGGTACACAGTCAAACAATGAGTTGAGTAAGCAGGCAGCTAACTTGCAACTTGTTTTAAACAATGTTCTGAGTGTGTTAAGTGCTTACTCAAGTTTTGAAGTTATACTTCTTTTGGCGCGTTTGAGAAAAATGATGAGAGTGAATTTTTTACAACTTCAGTTGATAATTGTCTGTCAATTGTTAAGTTTTCGTGAGAACTGATAACTATATTCGAGGTAGTTATTCAAATATATATGAATATATAAAACGTGTATTATTTTAGTTATTTTTGTTTTGTTACGCTAAAGAAGTATAACTTCTTACGTGCGTACATAAGTACACACACGTTTTGTTTTATAGCAATGTGAACAAAGTTAAAAAGTTAACAATAAAAATGAATATTGACAGAGTAGTGGGAAAATGAATATTTTTGCTCGTATACCAAATACCTTTGTTTACTGTACAATTATATTGTACAGTAATACAATAATATTTTACAGTAAACAAAGGTATGGAGATGGGATGGAGATACTTGATTCCATATTATAATCCCATATTATACTATTTTAATATAAAATAATAATGATTAGTTGAGTAAAAATGAAATAAATTGTTTTAAAAATCAATACTTATTTATTATTAATTGGTATATAGGAACATTCTGCATATAATTGATCACAAATAGTAAGTTATACAAGCATGTTCGATCCTGCTGGATATCATATTGAATTTTTTTATTCAGATTTAAAATGAAAAATATTATTATTTTTCGCAGATACATTAATTTTGTTCATTTAAAATTCGAAAATCTGGCATGATCATAAAACAGTAACAGTGAAATATGATGTCCAGGATTTATAAACTAATGTTATTATTATATATTCATTTCTGAACAAAATTAATTTATTAAAATAATTTCTATACGACACCATAGATAAGAGTGTACGACACTATGTCACTGCTTTTTGACAGCAGATCCATGGAGTATAGAGTAGTCTCTCTATACTCTACTCTATACTCCATGAGCAGATCTAACACAAAACTTGGCGCTTAACATGGCGCCGCAGTCACGCATGGATGAGTTAATGACGTCACACGAAAGTATTACCAAAATAAGCACTTTACAAACTGTAGTTGTCTCTCTTTTCTATTGCAGCTACTGCTTTGTTAAAAAGAGACAAAACTGTTTTTGACAAGCGTGTGTCGATATTATAGATATTTGTATAACTATTATTTCTATAGTGGAATATGCCCTCTCCTTAGGTATATATCTCTATGGAACAATATGTCAATTCCATAAAAAGAGCTGCCATCACTAGTACGAAAAATTCAAAAAATGCTAAAATATTCTATATGCTAAGGCCAATTTTTTCATGCCAACAGGTTTAAAAATATCCTAAATTTAGCATTAAAAATGTCACATCGGCGCTTTTCCCTGATAAAAAAGTACTATGTGGAGACTGAGAGGTGAGCGAGTATACTTGGGCATAAAAGTTATATAATTTATCATACAAATATCGGTATATATCGTCGATATTTTTAGTCGCAATATATCGATATTTATTTTCGAATATCGAATTCGTATCAATTTCGATATACGTATTTTAAAATTTAGTATTAATGGACAAAATATGAAGCAACAAAAGCAGCTACAAAAGTATTCATGTGAGGTTGTCGTGTTTTTCGTCGTCCAACCGTCAGATGGGCCTAATCCTAGTACATCATGCAAATGAAGACGATATATCTTTTTTAAGTTATACTTCTTTTGGACGTTTGGGAAAAATTATGAGAGTGATTTTTGTACAATGCGCGCGCACACCGACAACTAAAAACGACACCATGAAGTTGTTACGATGGACGAGCACACAGACACCTCAAAGCGACAACTTCATTGGATCTCTCAAGGTTCCGTGGGAACCGATAACTATATTTTAGCACAGAATAAAAATAATAGTACTACGTACAGAAGTTGCACTCTTTTGATGTTGACTG